GAATTTACCTAAAATATTTTAAATGTATTCGCTAAATTACTATAATCTGAGTTAGTTTCTATTTTGCGGCTAAATTAACTTTTCAGTTATTCTTGTTTTTGAAAGAAACTTTAAGCTAGAGAAGATTATCGGTTTTCCAATGACCTTTTTGGGCCCATAAACTTGACACCTCAACTGTTTTTGAGGAGTTAATGGCAAGGCTAATTGTCCATTTGGGCATGCTAAATTCTATTGATGGTTGTATCATCATGCGTTGCAGAGAAAACGGCAAAAATGCGAAGAGGGATCTTTTCGTTCTCTCGGTTGAAAACTAAAAAATGCAACTTTTTTGTCTCGTGACTATCGAATTGATAGAATAGAGTCCAATACACAAAAGAACAGGTCAAAATCATTAAGTTTGCTAAGTAACGCCTCTAGAGCTAAATTCATAGGTCATTATTTCACGTGATATATAACAAACTAAAAGTTTTGTTTTTGAACTCAAAAGAAAAATCAATAAAAAGTTTCGAATGAAAAAGTAATCAAAGTAATCACTGATAATTTTCAGACTGGTATCTGCACCATTTCTCACTCTCCCACCGTCTGCTGTTCCTGCTCGCCAGTTGGATCCTGGGGGCGGCCTCCATGAACAGAGACTTCTGGCTCACCTCCTTCTCGGAAGAGGCCGGATGTCAGTTTCCAGACAAACCCCGCCAGTTCAGTCCTTTTTCCATTTCCCTGCTATTAGGATTTAAAACTTCATAAGAAACGATCAGCATCGAATAGAAAATTTTGTAATTGAGCTTATAAGGGGCTGATAAAATTATTTCACTGCATATAATTTTTCGGATCAAGGTATTGTCCTCCCTTCAAATGCAACTCAATTACCCAGCAACTTTTCTGGTTTCGCCTACTATGTATTTCATGCTTAGTACTTTAATTAAGTAAAATAATCGTGTAAATTAATCTATTATTAACAAGACTGCTCGTATATCAGGGCAAAGCCCTGAATGTTCTGACTGTCCCTTAATTCATATCGAATAGTTTTTGGGGAAAGAAAATATTGAAAACCTGTAAATTTTGGACAAAATCAGTGTAAAATTTTGAGCCGTACGAAATTAATGCAACCAATTAGCTAGCCTCAATTCACTTTGGAACGATTTTGTTGTGCATGATAATTCGCCACGCATAAATAATTTGCGTTACGCTCTCAGCAACATGAATAAATTCTTCAAAGCGCACATAATTTAGTCCAGAACATGGCCAATTTGGCAATTTTGAAACCCCTAGAACTTAATAAAAAATAATCGGAGGTACAATATCTTTTTACATTTGAACTCAAGAGCTCGATATCTTCAATGGGGTATAAAAAGTTTTTGTTGTTATAAAAAGTTATTTTGGTATAAAAAGTTATTTCGATCAGCGAAAATTGACTGAATAAAAAAACCACACCGAGCATAAATAATCCGTTTTCTTCGAAAGTCGGAACAAATAAAATTTTAATGTTTTTGAACCAAATGAACATTTTACATTGGATATAACATATAGATCAACTGGACATCATCCAAGAGTAAATCGATGGTTACTTCAAACCAGTCATATGACGCCTCAGAAAGCTATTTTAAATAACCAACATGCTTGTATTTTTATGGTATTTTTGTTTATGTAACTTATCACTCATTTAGTTGGCAAAAAATAGTCATTCAAACATTCATTTGCCTATTTCACTTCAATAGCCCACTGAGCCAAAAATACTGGCTTCTAGAAGTATAATTATAAAATTGAACTTTTTTCAGAAAAATTGAATTCAAAAACGAAGAAATTCGCCGTTTACCGTGTGCGTATCCCTAGTGTATTTTGTGGTCAATTTTTTGGTTTATGAAAGTCGTCGCTCGATAGAAACAGTTGCTTACTTGTAAGTCTAAGGCTAAGAGTTTATGTTTATTTCTAAAGCTGCGCAAAGATTTGTAATTTCGTTATTGTTCCGACTTTCGCAACGAAAGTACCGGAATATTTGTGCTCGGGGTGGGTTTTTTCTTCACACAAAATTCGACTTTTTAACTAGCCATTTTTGACGGAATTTGTTTTATATCATTTGGAAGCTACTGTTGTCCTAAGCCTAAATATGAAAAGTAAATATATATTCCTTAAATATATATTTCGCGCTATTAACGCGTAAGCGAGATTTAATCCGTCTTATATATCGTTACAAATTGGTTCAAGGAAGCTTATATGCCATAATTGATTAGTTAATGGGAGCACAATCTATCACTTTGTACTTAATATGAGTTTGTACTTAATATAATCTCAAATTTTTTATGTTATTACTGCTCCATAGACCTTAAAAGGCAGTCGAAACATTCAGGGCTTCGCCCTGATACGAACAGTCTTGTTTAAATTTGTGTTGCAAAGAAAAAATGAGTTTTTCACAATTCATATCAATTTACAGTTTTTCGAAGCTTCTGTAGTTCGTCATTTTGATCAATTGATTTTTTTAGTGCTCAAATAATTATTGCTATACAACAGGTATCAGTTCTCTTTGTTTCAGGAACATCAATTTGAATTGATTGCGAACATTTTTATTACCAAAAAAAATCGTTTATGGGTTTGCGGTTAATTTTGCTCTGATGTTTTGCTTGGTTTGCGCAAACTCTAGATCAAAACTTCTGAACTTCTTAATTAACATCAGTTTATGAAAAGTTTTTTATGATCAATATTGAGATCTGCGCAATGTATATGCTCTGTATCATGTTCAAAATCAGCTGGTCTAAGTGATCATCTAAAAATACAACAAATGCATCAATCGGAGCTCGCGGAACAATATATGTGCAGCTGATTTGACTTCGGTTTGATTTTCGTTGCTTGAGGAACTTTTTATACTTGCATGATTAATATTCTCTTTTAAACTAGTTCCAACCCCTCCAGCTTTTTGTTTTCTAGTACAATTTGATATATCCCCTAATCTTAAGTTTGGTGTTTTTGAACAAACATGTCCTAATTAAGCATCAAGCATTTAGCCAGTGGCGAGTTTTTAAAGGTTTTAAAGAAACGTCAATCCTGAGAAAATTTTTTAAAGAAGTCTTATGTTTTGAAGAAAGATTTTTATGAGAAGGTTAAGTTTTCAAATTTTATTTAAATCGAAAAAAAATGTAAATATGTTTTGAGCAAGGTACCAATAACAAAACATCCCTAATGACCGTCTGTTCTATTAAAAAGTATTTAAAAACTCCGTGGTTTGTTTAATAATTTCACAAAAAAAAATTTGCATTGAAAAGAAACCCAAAAGTACGATGTTTTAGCTACAATAATGGCAAGCCAGGAAATCTACAAAATTAGTCTATTTTTATCTTAAGTGCTTAAGGCTGCGTAATTTAAAGCCAGTCGAGTAATAGCAGACTACCCTGATTTGTTTTACTTTTTCCTGATAGAAAAACAACAAAATGAAAAATTTATTTAATTTTTCTAAGCAATTTCTTAGTTTATCGAGTACAATGCAATTAGTGTTCATCTACCCTTGATTTGTTTCTTTCCATCAGGAGTAATACAGGCCTCAAAATTCTGATTTTTAGTATCTTTGTTTGACTTCTTTTACGCTTTCTGCTTTTCTGTTGAGACCACTTCACAGGGTTTTTGACCAGTCGCTTAGTAATGATAGTAATGATCAATTTGACCTGATCGTTACCTCTCTCATCCATAAATGCTAAAAAGCCATTGCAATTCGATGTCAAAAAACCTTGCTTGTTTGTATTTTTTGGCTTGTCTCCATCTGATGGTAACTTCTCGTTCATTAACAAACGACTGAATTCTTCTTAAGCAATGGATATTGTCCATTACCGTATTTGAAACTTCACTCACTATCCAAAATCAAAACGATAAGCTAAACAAAGATTGTCATTTGCTGTGTAAGTAGCACAGAATGTTCCGAACATATCATTAGAACTTTTTTTCATAATTGTTTTTCAATTTATCGTTGTTTTTTGTACATGGTGTGATAAAAAGATCTGAAGAAATCCTGAATTTTAGGGCTATTCGAGAGTCACTGTAACAAACAGTTTTTGTCAAAAAAAAGATAATGAAAAATTGAAGAAAAAATTCAATTTTTTTTGCAGAAACTATTTTGATATTTTGAGACTTTTTCTTCCAAAATGGCGCTAAAAACGAAAAATAAAAGAACTGGAGCTAAACTAATATTTAATGGCTCATCCTTTTATTACAAATCTGCTCTCATGCTTTTTTTGCTCGAAATTGGACCAAAACTCAAAAATTTTAAACTGGTGTTTCTGAACGGGCTGAAATATAAAACGTGTTCAACGGGAAAGGATTGAACGGGCTTCATTATAAAAAAAATTTCTTTTTTATGATGATTATTTGTGGTTCCTGATTTTGCATGAAAAACACAAAATAAAAAACTAAAACACCCCCAATGGTCGCAACAACAAAGAGTAAACAATTTTTATCCTCAATTTGTTCTATAAAGTTCAAAAAAGTTCAATGTTTCAATTGAAAGCATTAACGTCTGTTCAGTTAACTATAATTTGACTCAAATTATAACAAAATAAGCGCAGGGATTGGAAAATTTCAACGTCTGTTTCCAGTTCTTGATCCTGATATCAGTTTTTGAGTTCACGGCCATAGTCGTGGTCCCAGTGGCCATTATGTCCCTGTTGTACTACAAAGTGTACCAAATATACGTGGACCATGAGCAACTTCAGCTGAGTGCTTCTGCTGCTGCATTTGATATTCCAACAACTACCAACAACCATCGGACCAAGTATCAATCTTTTTGGTGGAACACGTAACAACCGTTTTTAGTTCGAAAGC